ATTTTCTAGGCAAATCTTTTTCCTGCAAAATATTTTCTTTCCACCCATTTTTCACACTTGCAATCAAACGCACCCTAAAAGTGGTCGAACAATGACAATGTCCATCAAAATCCGGCATGCTCAATGGGCTATAGGTTTTGGCCCAAGTCTAATAGAATAATTTTGATGGAAAAAGTTTCAAAGTCTATCTAAAAAAATTAAGCTTATTTGGGAAAAGCAATGGGTTGAATAGGAAATTTTTGGAGAATGTATGTTTAAGAAGTAAAGAAAAATTTTGAGTTTGTGTAGAATATTTTATTGAATATATGATTGAAAATGAGTACATATAAAAAAAAGGTTTTGATTTAAAAGATGTCAAACAGGGGCTAAATTATTTTCCACTTTAAAATTTAATTTTTTTTCCAAAATACTATTTTTTGTATTTTCTAGCAATTGTTAAGTTGCGTTATACATCTAGAGGGTGTTTGTTGTGGATTAAAATTAGATTTTTAGTAGATTGTGATAGAAGTTTTTAAAATATGTGGTTGAAAAGTTGTGGGACTCATAAAATATGTGGTTAATATTAATTATTTGACATTAACTTGGATTAAAATCAGATTTTAATTCGAACCAAACATGGGCCTATTGTCGTCTCTGCCACCATTGTCACCACAACAATCAATGTCAACACAACGACCACATCTCTAAACTATGTGGTTGGAAAGTTGTGGAACCCATAAAATATGTGGTTAATATTAATTATTTGACTTTAACTTAGATTAAAATCAGATTTTAATTTGGACCAAACATGGGCCTATTGTCATCTCTGCCACCATTGTCACCACAACAATCAATGTCCGCACAACGACCACCTCTCTAAACTACCATTCTTGCCACTGTATCTCACAACTATTGTCATCGTCGACGTGATGGAAAGGAGGTAGGTGGTGGTGGTCTCATCTAGATCTATAGCGTAATGGTGGTGGACAGCGGTTGTTGGTGAAGTTGAGATGGTGGTGGAGTGGTGGATTGGTGACGTTTAGATGATGATGGTGGTGGCCAAGATTCTTTTTCTTCTTCTCCGGTAAAAGATATTTGTTGTATGGATTTTGTAGATTTAGCCCCTGTTTGATCCACATTATTTTTTCATTCTCATTCTTCTACTCTTTTTCAATTACACATTTTTCAATAAAATATATTTTACATCACATTAATAACTTTTTCTTTTTTTTCAACCACATATTTCCCATCAGATCATTTCAAAAAAATGCATTATTTCATTTTAATGTGCACCAAACGGGCTCTTAGTTATGTTTTGGATAACGGTAGTGAGTGAGGGTGGTGGCAAGGGTAGCGACAGCAGTAATGGAACTGAAAATTTCTTTGAGGGTAGGGTTTGAAAACCAAAGTGACTTTTTAAATTGGGTAGTAGGTTTAGAATAGAAAATACACGCACAGTGCAAATCGATATAAGAACAAGTGAAATTTTCTTATTTTCCACTTTAAATATATATCGTTTATGAATTTCTAAAGTTTAAAATTCAAGTTTTCAAAATAATAATTTCCAGGGATTATTGTAAATTTAGTCCCCAACCTTTAGACAAAAGCGCCTAGCCTGTCTCAAACCAGTTTTTCATCTGGTTTTTGTTCCCAACCTTTTGGAGATTAGCAAGTTAAGTCATCATTCACGGTTTTGTTAATTTTTGCAATTAAGTCAGTCTAATAACTTGCATTTGCTCTTTCATTATCAAACCTATAAGTGTTTATATTTTTACTATGGTTAATATTGTTAACACTATTATCTTTAGTTACGATACTTTTTAATTACAATAAAGGTCTCCAACCTTTGTTATTAACATCCCAACATTTTTGTCACATTCTTATCCTCAACCTTTAATTAATTATCCGATTTTTTCTCAACGACAGTTTTCATCCAAAAAGTTCAACAATGTACATGACGCTCCTACACCAAAAATGCTACAATAGAGATAGATTCGTGTTCCATAATTAACTCGCCATCCAAAGCCAAATCCAATGGCCCATTCCAATCTACCACCACCATAAATCGTTGCCGCCAAACACCGTCGTCTCAAAATCCAAATCCACCACTAGCAATCCATAGTCACCGCCAATCAACATATTCACAAAAGTTGAATCCATAGACCAAACCAAAAAAAAAAAAAAAAAACCATCCAGAAAACATCTCTATTCCCAGATGAATTAAACTAAACGGTGATCCTGTACGTGAAGCATGATTGTTCTTAGAATTTATCACAATTCAAATTCAAAAAATTACTCTATTTTACAAAAAAAAATTCTCACAATATAAACTCAAACAAAATAATTATATTATCATTGACAATTGGAAGTTGCAATTCGAAATGATGGTTTTGAGTGCAATTTGAAGTTGCATTGAACATTTATCCGGGTCACAAATGAAATTAGAATGATTTGTTCAGTGACAATTTTCATCTATTGATAATAACTCGAATTCCTATTTTTAATGCAATTTGAAGTTTCATCTGAGTTATAATTGAAATAGCAGGCTTCGATTTTAAATATTGTTTTCATCTATCGACGATGACCCAAACTCTGGTGTCATGGGTGCAATTTGAAGTTGCATTGAAGTGTCGTGGGGGTTACAGCTTGAATGAGGAGGACAGCAAAAAGTCTGTTGCTTTTATAGGTTAATAGCTCTGAATGAACCCACCCCCTTTGTTTGAGCATCGGTGGAATTTGGTCCTATATTAGTTGGAAAAGAAGGTCTCACAATTATTTTACAGGCCGACGGCGATGGTGCTGTGTTCGATGGATGCTCAAAGGCAGTGAGGATCCATCATCAATGCGGCTCTTTGAAGCCTCTCCCATCTTCTTTCCACAACAATCGGAAATAGTGGTTGTGATCCTAACTTTGTTCGTGGTGGTGCTAGTTCTTGAACTGCTATTGATGGTAGTCTTATCAAGTGGGGTGCTACCTTGTGATTTATGATTTTGTGAAGTGATGAGAATGATGATTGGAGAAGAACAATATGCTTCATTGAAACTCTAGTTCACAAAAACATGCATAATTTACATTCCATATTAATAATCAATCAAATTTCTTAACAATTAAGGGATAATGTTGGAACATTGTAAATTAAGTGAGATAATTTTCATAATATTGTTTAAAAAAGTCATTATGCAAACTAAATTAGAAATTTTGAAACATTCAAATATTCAAGTAATAATCATGCTTTGGAAAAAAAATGTAACTTTCCATTATCCATTTTGGGCCAATAAGACTCGGCCGTCGGCTCAATAGATAAGGCCCAAGTAGATGAAAAATGGAATAAATAAATAGAACATAATATTTCATTTTTTACTTCTTCTTCCCATTTTAAATCGCTGCTTCATCTCTCTTACGATGAGCTCTCTCTGAGATTTCTCTCTTCTATATGTCGCAACCCACCTCCACAAACCCCAATAAGCGTTCATCCCCTTGCTCCTCCACCTCCCACACCTCCGTCGCTACCAGGGACGCCACAGCCTACGCCGCCGGAAGTAGCGGAGCCACAATTTTTTCAGCAATGAAGAAGGCCAAGTCGCAGGCGGTTGCTTATTCACTCGACAGCAATAAAAACAGCCAGCAAAGTATTACCCCTCACGTTCACTTCGCCGACTCCCCTGCTCACTCTCCCATGATCGAAGATGACCCTAATGACGTTTTGGAAGCCTCTCCTTCATCCGGCCGCGGAGCTGCAGCTGTGGGTGGCCACGAAGGTGGGACCATTGCTAATTTATCGCGGAAGAAGGCCACGCCGCCACAGCCAGCAAAAAAACTCGTCATTAAGCTCAATAAAGGTTTAATTTCAATTCTATTTTTCTTCAATTTTGTTCTGATTGTGAAATTTCGTTTATGGATTTAATTACTGTAAACTTCTGCCTGAAGATTGGGGATTTTTATTGTAACACTTTGAATTTCTCTCCGGGTGCTATTAGGTAGAGGTGTCAGGGTTACGATCGTTTGATTAATCAGTCTGAGATTGAAATTTAGTTTTTAAAGCTGGCATTGTACAGTACATTAGAAAATATTGATTGGCATACGAGTAAATTTTAAAATTGGAATTATGTGATTTTAGTATGTCATGATCTGGGTCTTTTTCTCTATTTCCAGGATCACAGGGTTTGCAAGTTTCAACTACACGATTAATGCAGTGTAAATCTGATATTGAAGCTGAAATTGAGTGACTAATTGAATTGATTGTTTTTTCATTTCATCTGCCTTCCGGACTTAACCCCCTGTAACATAGAAATGGATAAATAATCTTGGTGTTCTGTATTGTCAATTTTTTTTATTAGGTTTTAGTTTTCCTTAATAGTGGGTTTCAGCTGGTGTTTAATATGCTATGGGAGTAGATGGATCTGGATAAGCAGTGGATACAGATTTGGACAGTTTTTATCACTTCATTTGGCTTGATGGGGGTAAAGGTTTGAGTACTTCTGTGATACATTATGAATATTCCACTCTAATAGAGGATATGTAAAAGTAGTGGAATCTGCCTTCTTGTTTCGTCGCACAATCACATGTATCCCCAGTTTGAGCTGACATTTGGATTGCTCCAAATTGTTAATTGAAGGCTCTGGAAA